ATTAATGTCGAAGTATCGATTGTTAAACATAAATGTTGATCCTTAAGAGCTATTTTTAATTTTTCTTCTCATCTACATAAATGTTCAAACAATCTCTTCAAATCATCAAACGAGAAGGAACATCAAATCTAGGTTGCATTACTTGACAAAATGATTTAAATCCTTAATTTTCAACGAAGTTAAAAGGTAGCTTATCAAATATAATCATTTTTCCTAGGGCTTTCCTACACTCTTCATAACTAAAGCCTATTGCCTTAATAGTCACCATATTTTCCTCTCTATTATTACCCCCTCCTCCTTTATTATAGGTCTAGATTCTAAAACTAAAGTTTTTTTTTTTATTTTTAGTCAATCATAAATGAAAATTTTTTACAGACACCTAAATAACTCCACATTTTACTAGTCTCATTAAGTATAGAATGATATGCATAGTCTTTTCCACAATACATACATGCAGGCCTAGGAGCTTTAGGATTACCATCTAGTTTTTTTAAAGTAATCCTAAATTTGGGATTGTTTTATTAGATCTAGCATCGGTTTCTGCCAATCTAAGGCAGATTACTCTTTGTTCACTCAGGTCTAAGTTACTTCACTCATAAATATTATTATATGTTGATGACATGGTAATTACATATAACAATAAGGTAGATATTAAAAATCTAAGGCTTTCCTTAGTAGTCAATTTCAAATTAAAAGATCTTGGACCTTTGACGTATTTCCTTAGAGTCGAGGTCGTACGTTCAGAAGTTGGAATCACAATTTACCAATATAAATATACACCGGACATATTAAAGAAGATTGGATTACTTGGTGCTAAACCTATAAAGGTTCAAATGGAGGCAGATTTGGTACCAACACTTACATGTAACAATTCACTTCACGAACATGTGAGGTATAGATGTTTAGTTGGAAAATTGATCTATTTAACCATCATAAGACTAGGAATATAATATATTATCAACACATTGAGTCAGTTCATGCAAGATCTATAATGATATCATCTTAATTGATGCAGCGTATCAACTTTTTCAATGCCTCAAAGGAGCTCCTAGGCAAGGTTTAATGTTTACTTCCCAAAGTGAATTACATTTAATTGGTTATTGTGACATAGATTGGGCTCATTGCCCTATCACACGTCAATGAGTGACTAATGATTAGTACTTAAAAGTGCATTTTTATCAAGATTTTGGATAATCATTTTTGCACTTGAAGTATGAATAACTCTTTAGCTATGACATGTTTTATAATAACATATCTAATAATATAAAATACCTTTAATTTATAGTAAATATTCATCTTAAATACATGAATATCAAATAAATAAAGGGATTGATTGATGAGTTTAACTACTAAAATTCAGAAGATGAGAGAGGGCTAAGATTAGAAAATAGATATTGGTTTAGTCTAAACTGGAACACAATTCTGTTATTAGATCATAACTAGAGCTTTGAAACTTGGATTTAGGTTCGCTCTATATAAATAAAGAGTTAAGACATGGGCCTAAAGTTTTTATAAAAGTCCAAGATTCAAAAAGATTGTTTTCAAATTCAAATTATAGCAATAACGGAAAAGTTTAAATCTGTTCTATAGCTAATACATTGTTCAGTGTTTAGCCCATATCTTGAGTTCTACAAGTCGAAATGCATCGATTGTTTTTTATATAGAAAGCTGAGACAATTCCCTATAACTTTTATAAGATAATTTATTCAAATTTTGATGTTAACAATATTGTTTTATTTATATAAGAAGATAAGGATTATCATCAAGTCAAGATGTGGCCACCCATTCAATAATTAGTAAACAAATCAATAGTTTTAAATTTTAGCATACAAAATGAGGTATTTGCCATGTATTTATGATTAATACTTAAAAGTGCATTTTTATCAAGGTTTTATATCATCATTTTGCACTTGAAGTATCAATAACTCCTTAACTAAAACATGTTTTATAATAAT